GTGAGGGTATATAATGAGACATAAAGAAAGTTGGCTAGGGAGAGTGAGAAAGAGAGAGAGATGCAAAAAGACATAAAGAGAAATAGCTAGAGAGAGAGAGAGAGGGAGAGAGAGGGATACAAAGAGACATACAGAGAGATAGCTAGAAAAAGAGAGAGGGGATATAAAGAGACATAAAGAGAGATATCTAGAGAGAGAGAGATAGAGAGAGGGATACAAAGAGATAGAGATAGCTAGAAGGAGAGAGAGAGAGAGAGGGAGTGATAGAAAGAGACATACAGAGATATAGCTAGAAAGAGAGAGAGAGAGAGAGGGATACATAGAAACATACATAGATAGCTAGAAAGAGCGAGAGAGAAGATATAAAGAGACATAAAGATAGCTTGAGAGAGTGAGAGCGAGAGAGAGAGAGAGTGATACAAAGAGACATAAATAGAGATAGCTAGAAAAAGAGAGGGGGGTATAAAGAGACATAAGCTAGAACGAGAGAGAGAGAGAGAGAGGTGCGATAAAAAGAGACATAAAAGAAATAGCTAGAAAGGAAGAGAGAGAGGGAGAGAGAAAGAGACATAAAGAGGATATAGCCAGAAAGAGGAAGAGATAGCACAGAATCAAATAATTTAAAAATAAAGAAAAGAAAATTCTCATGTAATAAAATTTTTTAAAAAAGAAAGAAAATGACACACTTGAAGGAAGAAGAAAAATAGAAAGAAAAAAAAAATGAATAAACAAGACTCATAAGATTTAAAAAAAAACTCTCGTTCGCCCTCCCCTCTCAAAAAATTAAAAAGTTAAAAAAAAACAAAAAAAGAAAAGAAAAAAATTTCTTAAAACAAATAATAACATAACAAACAAGTCAACAATACAAAACAACAAAAAGGTTTATTTATTTAAACAGCACTTAAAGATTTGGAGAGAATTTTTTTTAGTGATTTCGGTTCAAATCAAGCAAGATGGCGGACAGGGGAAAAGGCAGTGGGATGGGAAGATGACGGAAGATGAGAGAGATTAAAAAAAAAACAAACTCTAGCGAGCTTTTTCGTTTGTTTTAATTCAGCCGGGTAAATAATTATTTTACGCTGCCAACAACTTTTGAGACGAGACTATCAACACAGCGACATTAGAATTTCGTGGGTGCGGGCTTCTCTTTCGCTTTTGCAGTATTTGTTTGTGTGTGTGACGAGATGATTCAACGAGACTTGCATCTGAATGTAAAATTATTGCTTTAAACTTATGTATATTTCTATCTGGCTTCTAAATCTATCTCTTGATATCATCTCTCGTCCATATCTATCTATCTATCTATCTATCTATCTATCTATCTATCTATCTATCTATCTATCTATCTTAGTCTCTTTTATATCTATCTCAGCACGCCTCTACTATCTATCTATCGTCCTATCTATCTATCTATCTATCTATCTCTCATCTATCTCATCGTCCATATCTATCTATCTATCTATCTATCTATCTATCTATCTATCTATCTTAGTCTCTTTATATCTATCTCAGTACGTCCATATCTATCTCAGCACGCCTCTACTATCTATCTATCTATCTATCTATCTATCTATATCTATCTATCTATCTATCTATCTATGCCAAATGATGTTTTCCGTATGGGATGTAGGTTCGATTCTTGTCGAGGATGCATATTTTCTACGATATTTCTCGAATATTCAGGTCTGTAAATGTAATTAATACAGTTTAATTAAAAACACAGCCTTTAATCAAATAAGTTGATTCATTAAATTAACGTATAAACAGAAATACATAAGAATATTTGTCGGATTTAATCCATTACATTGATCTATCTATCTATCTATCTATCTATCTATCTATCTATCTATCTATCTATCTATCTATCTGTAAATGTAGCGATATTTATACATATCTTAGCCTGTTTATCACTCTACTGTTCTTCCGACCACATGAGCTGCATTAAAATATCCCTTTAAAAATCACCCTAAACACTCTTGGTCCACCGTCTTGTCCCCTAAATTAATCTATTCTTTTCTTATATGTGCCGTATTCATTCAGAACGTAGGGGATCATGGCTCTCCACAGCTACCTATCTTTTGTAGCCCTTAGTAAAATGTGTCTTTTTACTATCGCTCCACCTCCCTGTTCTCGCATCGTAAGGTAAGTTACTCACAGCTTCCCACTGACCTTCTTTGCCTTCAATACGTCCTGTGAGTTTCAAATTTTCCAAGCCTTCTTTTCTCATAATCATTAACACATTAGTAATGGTCTGCGAAATTGGCTCACTCACCCTTAGTCCAAGTAGCATCTGGTGAGGGTTTGCAAACGCATTTCACATGATTTCTGTTTGTCGTACTAGATGTGATTTTTGATCTGATTAGTAACGAATTCCTCCTTTATAAACTGTAATATATTAGGGAAATCTTAGACGTGTCGTGGATTAATTGACCATTGCTAATTAACGACACTGAGCAAGTTTACAATAAACGCTAAGAAAAGGAAGAAAAAAACAGGGCAAAATAATACGAAGCAAACAACATATATGGAAGTCAAAACTAGGCAAGGTAACAGTAATAATGCAAAAAGTAAGAATAGTGTTCATACGCAAAGTCAAGTGATTATTATGGGCATTGGAGACTGAAGATAACCAATATAGTTGTTTGATCTTTCCAAATACCTCATTAGCGCAAATAGAAATGGAAGAAAACCTCAGTTCGATTCAAGATAACCTTACTTTCAAAGTCAGCCGAATTTACATGGCGAGTGGAATTCTTTGGATTCTGTGGATTTCATGTAGAATTCTGGTGGAATTTTACAATCGATCTTACAACCAGAAATAATCAATTTTTAATATTAATATAGAATAAGAACTCTGGATTATGCTTATAAAACAGAAATTATTAAATTAAAAAAAATTAATGGGTGTTCCAATTTGCAGCTCAAAATCATTGTAATTTGTCTCCTTATTTAAGCCAAAACGAATCATATAACGTGATTTAAAAAAAAAAGATGAAATTCGTGATATGGAGTGCTAAATTGATAGTAATATATGTAAAAAGAACTCCAGTTTACGAATTTCGAAGAGATCACATTCTATGAGAACTTTTATTCTGGCTTGGGTAGGAGGATCAATTTACAATGAATTTACATGACAAACTGAACCACCTTATACATTTGCTTTTATAAAATTTAATATAAAAAAGTTGTTTTGTGATATTTGTTATCTGGAAAGCTTAATAAATAATATGAAAAAAAAAAACGTTAAAAACATGATTATTTCTTATAGCAGAGCCTACTGTAAAACTACACCATCTCTCCCCACCCCGATGAGCTCTGTCCACGAGTCGGAATGGTGAAGGTAACATCAATCAGCTTTGTGAGAAACTTTTTACTTATTTTAATTCTGTTTCTCTCTCAAAATATATATATATATATATATATATATATATATATATGCTTAAAAGGAATTCAATTGAGCCAAAAGGTTAATATACAATAAATATCAATTTTATTGACAGTATTGGTATCATTTTGTTGGCTTTTTATTCTTCAAATGTTATCAAGCGGCCTATTAAATCTCTCTCTCTATATATATATATATATATGTGTGCACACACACATATATATATATATATATATATATATAAACACATATATATATATATATATATATATATATATATATATATATATATATATATATATAGCTTTTGCTCTACACTGTATTGAGCCCTTTTTTAAATTAAATGTTAAGAACGTTGAAATTGTACTCTGTCCGTTCTCATCTTACCTTTTATATATATATATATATATATATATATATATATATATATATATGAGAAATTGTAAAACGTTTTTTGTGTTACGTTTCATCTTACGAATGAAACGCGTCAAAAATAAGCTTAAAACGGTTTGAAAAAATTGATATATCGTTATCCCATATATATATATATATATATATATATATATATATATATATATATATAGGCTGCGATGGATACATTTTCGTCTAAATTACGCGAAAGCACTAGCTCATTTTAACAGATATATTTACCAACATTAAACATAAATATCTTGAAATAGTAAAGAGTAAATTTATTCAATAAAATCGCCATTGTCTTCACACCAGATCTATTTAACCTTTAACCTGAGGTAATTCTGAGACAATTAGAAGTCCTGCCACGGGTCATTATTTGTCGACACAATCTTAACAATATTAAATATGCAGTTGACACAGTGCTAATAGGTAGATACAAAAAGAAAAATACAGGAACTCCTACAGACGTTAGTAAAGGAAAGCTAGAAGAAAGGACTAAGCATCAATTGTAAGAAGACGTTGTGCATGGGTGTCAGCAAAAGGAGCAGCCGAGCGTGCGAATTATAAATTGTAGATCTTAAAATCAAGCAAGTAGCAATATTTAAATATATACGAGGTGTTTTTAACAGAGGACGGAAAGTGCGACACCGAAATCCGAAGGCGCATTGCGATAGCGAAAGATGTCTTCCAAAAGCTAAGCAAAGTATTAAGAAACAGGAAAATTTCGTTAGAAACAATGAAAAGAGTATAGAACTGTTACGTAATATCAGTCCACCTATATGGCAGTGAATGCTGGACAATCTCCTCGCAGATGAAGAGACTTGAAGCAGTAGAAGCAAAGAAAAGTGCACTGAACTGTTATATAATACCAGTCATCCTATATGGCAGTGAATACTAGACAATCTCCTCGCAGATGAAGAGACTTGAGGCAACAGAAGCAAAGAAAAGTGTACTGAACTGTTATGTAATATCAATCATCCTATATGGCAGTGAATGCTGGACAATGTCCTCGCAGATGAAGAAAAGATTAGAAAAAACAGAAATGAAATTCTGCAGATGGACGCTGAGTATACCATGGACCGAATATCTGAGCAACAACGAAGTTTTAGAGAAACTGGAAACAAAAAGGACCCTTATAGTTAGCATAAGAAAGAGACGTTTGAAATTTCTAGAGCACATAATATGGAAAGAAGGCTTAGAAAATTTGACACTCATAGGGCAGATTGAAGTCAAGAAGGACAAGCATCGAATAACCTGTTGTAACTTAGGAAGGGTTACTGAATAAAGAATAACCAAAACGGATGTTGGAAATGAAATGTTAATCTTTATAACAGCAAAATACAAGACTCGCCAGCGGCGTGAAGTAGGTAAACCACTGCTATTGGTGGACTACATAGACAGCATATCACCCTCACTTACAATAGTGTCCAGCGTATTTATGTGGATTGGGACATACCCATTAGTGTTCATAGGTACGGTATGTAACACTGGAAAAAGAACTTCTGTAAATATTTGGCAGAACAGTGTTTAGAAGAGATAGCAAAAAGATAAGATTTACTTAAGATTTAAGAGCTACAAAGGACACAAAATTATGACACAGCCCAGGGTTTGAACTCACAATCTCTATGTCACCAAATTAACGCTGCAATCCTTTAGGCTATTGTCACATTAATTCGTGAGTTTATTGACAGTTTTTATGAGTTCAATCCCTGGGCCGAGAAGTCTACATGGGCTCAGTGTAAACAGGGCGAGAAATAACTAAGCCCTACTTAAAATAAGAAGTAAACAAGATATCCCTAGACATGGACAGTGGAACGAGAACAGTCTGCCCCTTGTAGGTTACCCGGCTCGACATACACTCTTGTGCAAATTAAGATGTGGCGGTAAGAAGTACATATTATGAAGACATGAATGATAAAGTTTGGCCTTGTCTTGAAAAAGTTAAAACCCTATTCTTCGGGGAAGTATCTTTTCAAGTGTCATTTCTACATAGTTATACTTCTTGGAGAGAAACATTTATTATCGAATTTCCTTCTTAATATGAAAATAAGGAGTGTCGACTCTGTGTATGTGGAATAGTGACTGCTAGTTGTGAAACGCTGGAACTAATGTCTGTAGTTCGTGTGAACATTTCCCATGAAATTAGCGATAGAATAGAGGGTAAGATTCGTTTGTGGGAAAGCGATGGAAAATAAAACCTTGTGCAAATTAATTGAAACAAAACGAATAAACCTTTTATTATTTATTTTTTTCGTATTTTTAAACTGAAACATGACCCAGTGCACATATTCGTGTGTCCATTCCACAAAGTTGTTTCTTGTAGATCGACCACAGATTCTTGATTGGATTTAAATCAGGAGAGTTTTCGGGCCAGTCTATAGTACTTTGATTTGCTCAATGGCATGGCTTGCCAGATTATTCGTGCAGCGTATTCGTACGATTACTTGGAGTAACGTCCATCGCAAACAATGGCTTCTTTTTTCGAGAGTCAAATTTCTGTGATTATTCTTTTTCAAAAAATATATTGCTGGTTACTTTTATTCTTTTTTAGAACATATTGCTGATAATTTTACAATAAAAATCTACTTTCATTGTATTTTGACCCTAGTTTAGAGGTTAACTATTTACCCATAGCTGGGACCCCAACAGGTGCTACCACCCCGATTCAAAGGTGACCTGGAAACAACAGCAATTAAGATGTGGTTCCAAGCTCCTTAAAACATTCTGATCAGAGACCTTGCTGCTGGATGCAGTTAATCGTCATACCCAGGATAGTGTATTATGAAGACATGAAGGATAGATAAAATTTGGCCTTGACTTGAAAAAGTTAAGACGCTATTCTTCGGGGAAGTGTCCTTTCAAGTGTCATTTCTACAAAGTTATATTTCTTGGAGAGACTTGAAGTAATAGAAACAAAGAAAAGAGTACTGTACTGTTATGTAATATCAGTCCACCTATATGGCAGTGAATGCTGGACAATCTCCTCGCAGATGAAGAAGAGACTTGAAGCAACAGAAACAAAGAAAAGAGTACTGAACTTAACGAATTTCCTTCTTAATATGAAAATAAGGAGTGTCGATTCTGTGTATCTGGAATGGTGACTGCTAGCTGTGAAGCGCTGGAACTAAGCTGTGAAGCGCTGGAACTGTAGCTCGTGTGAACAATTCCCATGAAATTAACGTAAGCAATGATTCGTTTGTAGGAAAGCGGTGGATAATACACCCTTGTACAAATTAATTGAAACAAAACGAACAATTCCGTTATTATTTACTTTTCTTTCGTATTTTTTCCAATGAAACATGACCCAGTGCATATGTTAGTACTTCGTATGTCCATTCCACGATGTCTTTCCTTGCAGATTGACCACAAATTCTCGATTGGATTTTCAATCAGGAGAGTTTCCGGGCCAGTCGATAGTACTTTGATTTGCTCACCGGTAAAGCTTGCCGGTGTGTTCGTGCAGCGTTACAATTTTCGTAAGCTTTCTTGGAGTAACGTCCATCGCTGACAATGACCGTAAGACAACTAATCGACAGTCGAGACAATAGTGTCTGGGCGTGATAAAAATCTGATGCAATCACGGATGACGCAATATTTTTCAAAGCCAAACAAATTTCATCATATACCTCGAAAATAGATTCATATTACTGCACACCACTGCAAATGACCCGAGGAAAAATAGAAATCGATTACAGCCTGTCACTCCAGTGGGTCTAAAACTGACCGTATGGTGAAAGAAAGGAAACTAAAGCGGTTGCTTCACTTAATTTGTACAAGGGTGTACACCTGATGAAGACCATAGGGCACAACGGTCGAAACTTCCTAATAACAATAACAAAGATGAGGAGAATTGTCTGCATGTTAATAATGTAAATAATGATAACTCTTCATACCGCAAAGTCAGATTCTACTAGACATAAAGGGGGGACCGGTTTTTATTCTGTTCAACACAAATGTTGCTCTACAGAAGGATGCTGAGAATACTATATACCGAACATAGACCGAACAACGAAGTTTTTGAGAAAATGGAAACGAAAAGGACGCTTATATTTAACATCAGGAAGAGGTAGTTGAAATTTTAAGTGTACATAATGAGGAAAGAGGGCTTGGAAAATTTGATACTCACACGACAGATTGAAGACAAGAGGGACAGAGAAAAACAACGCCTTCCGTTTTTTTGTTGCTTATAAGACGCAATTTCCCCTATAAAATATCTCCAAAAGCCACCCTGCGTCTTATAAATCGAAGGTCGGTGATCGAATTATAAGTTTGTGGTGTGGAGTTAACGTCAGTTTCCCAGTTGCCCCCGATTCTGAGCCTTTGAAAGGAAAATAAGTCCAGTGTTTCAAGATTAAAAGCGTTCTGAGAGAACCTATTTATGCAGTTGGGATAAAATAGTCAAGATTATCAATAATGAGGATTTCAAGCTGTATAAGGAATTCAGCAGTGTGGTAAGCATTATCGTAGGTTTTAATCGACACATAACTCAAACTTAACCTTATTTCTGCATCCAAATTTACCTGTATCGAATTTATAATTAGGGCTCCATCTTGGTTTGGGATGAATTTGCCACGATAAGTGAAGATTTCAGGATGTAATAAGGTTTCAGATGTACTATGCACGCTAACTTTTCTTCTAATTATTACAATTTAAATAGTTACTATAAATTTGATTCTTATCGGTCTGTGATGAAATTGTCTTAATTAGCGAAGATTCCAGGTTGCAATAAGGTTAGGCTTCAGTTGTACTATACACGCTAACTTTTCTTCTAATTATTACAATCTAAATAGTTACTATAAATTTGGTACTTTTCTCGGTCTCTGGTGACTTATTCATGATTATTCAGGTTTTCATTCTGAAATATAGTATTCACTAGGGAAAATTGGGGATAGTAGAGAGGGTTATAAAGTACAAGGAAAACATTTTTTCCGATTTCTTCCTCATAGATTTTGGCGGCTTCTTACAAGCCGCGAAATACGATATGCTGATATCAATGATTCAGTGGGTAAAATTGGAGAGGGCTACGAAACACAAGAAAAATCTTTTTTCCGATTTATTCTTTCAAAGTCTTTGGGGATCGTCTAATGCATTGGAGCGACTTATATGCTGCTAAATACGATAGCCTACCCAACGAGATTGAGTAAATGGATGGCGGAGCAAGGTTTGGTAGAAATAAAAAGACAAAATTTATTAAAAGCTACAAAGCACAGGAAATTGTGGAGAAACATGGTTGTTAACGTCTTAAAGTGACACGGCACATAGAATACGAATAATAATAATAATAATAATAATAATAATAATAATAATAATAAGAAGAAGAAGAAGAAGAAGGAGAAATAAACGAATATTCCAGAATTATTGCATATCAATATGACAGTTGGAAAAAATCTTTTTAAGGAATAATTGTAAGGATTTAACGAACGTTTAATATCATAAATGCCTTTTTTTTTAAAGGACAAGTGTTTGAATAATGGTTACGGCTTTAGAAGTCTCGGAAAAGAGAAGAATTGTCTGTTGTTTGAATTTGAAAAAAAAAAAAAAATAAGTAAAGAAATGTGTCTGGAATCGTCTCGAAGATTACGCGGATGAAAAGACGATAAAATAGTGGTTTTCGTTCGGGGTAAAATAAAAGAGTGAGATAAAAGTCCCACTATTTTATTCACTGACTTATTTACTCGTTATTTTCAGATGGTTCCTGGGGCGAGAAATGGCTGAAGAAAAGGTATGAAAGAGAGACGAGAAATTCTCTGCTTCTCTCTTTTTTTTTTAATTCTTATTATGCGTAGTCATTGGTAATTCCATTGAATTATAATAGCCTGGAACCAGACAGCCAATCAACAGCGGAATTCAATTAAGCTAAGAGCCCGGATGCAATGCGACACTTCTGATTGGTCGGTTGCGTTGACTGTTGTGGCCAATGGGAAGAACCGATGGGCTTCATACGACATTTCTTGAACAAATACGACGAAAAATTTACTATCTATCTATCTATCTATCTATCTATCTATCTAAGTATATATTAGTTTGTTTTATGGCATATCAACCTCAATGGGTTATTTAATGCCGACAAGACTTTTATTGCTGGTAATATTTTCTATCTATCTATCTATCTATCTATCTATCTATCTATCTATCTATCTATCTATCTATCGAAATCTGCTCATATCTATCTATCTATCTATCTATCTATCTATCTATCTATCTATCTATCTATCTATCGAAATCTGCCCATATCTATCTATCTATCTATCTATCTATCTATCTATCTATCTATCTATCTATCTATCTATCGAAATTTGTTCATATCTATCTATCTATCTATCTATCTATCTATCTATCTATCTATCTATCTATCTACTCGAGAGGTCCTGGAAGTCTCTTCGGTAGATTCTAGAATCTAGTTTGGGCTGAGATCTTTTCAGCGCCTTCTCATAGATACATTTCTGTATATGTAGGTACATGATAACGCGAGGAAAAGGACACACTCACCTGCAAACACGTATCAGACGTTTTATTTCAATTTATATCTACGTTTCTATCTTTCTTTCTGCGCAGGCAACCATATTCAAATTTACTCTATCCCAATGTACGCATACGTATTTGTGATTCGCAATGGCGATAGTTGTTTGCGGTGTGCATAAATAACGCGAGACTATGGCGAGACTTGAGGCCTTACCGTTATCAATTCGTTTTATGTCTTACTCAGTTCTTGTTATCTCATGTCTCCGTCTTCGTATGCTGACTGCTCAAGGAATCTTTGATCTGACAACATGAAATCTCGTGGAAAGAGCAATACCATGGGCGAAAGGAGAAAGAAAGAAAGAAAGAAAGAGGAATCGCGGAAGAAAGAAATAAAAGAAAGAAAGAAAGAATGAAGGGACGAACTGAGAAATTGTGAAAGAAAGAAAGAAAGAAAGAAAGAAAGAAAGAAGTAAAACAAAGAAAGAAAACGGGTGAACTGAAAAAGAAAGAAAGAAAGAAAGAAAGAGTGAACGCGAAATCGCGGAAGAAATAAAGAAGTGAAAGGAGAATGAAAGAAATAAAAAATGCTAAGAAAATGGGTGAACTGAGAAAGAAAGACAGAAAAAAAGAAAGAAAGAAAAAAAAAGAAAGAAAGAATAAATTAACTGAGAAATTAAGAAAGAAAGAACGAGAAATCGCGGAAGAAAGAAATAAAAAAAAAGAAAGAAACAATGAACGGACGAACTGAGAAATTGCGCCAGAAAGAAAGAAAGAAGTAAAAAGAAAACAGGCGAACTGAGAATGAAAGAAAGAAAGAAAGAAAGAAAGAAAGAAAGAGAGAAAGAAAGAAATAAAGAAAGAAAGAGAGAAAGAAAGAAATAAAGAAAGAACGGGAAATTGTTGAAGAAAGAAAGCAGTGAAAGAAGAAAGAAAGAAAACGGGCGAACTGAGAAAGAAAGAAAGAAAATGAAAAATATAGATAGATATGATCAGATTTAGATAGATAGATAGATATGAGCAGGTTTAGATAGATAGATAGATAGATAGATAGATAGATAGATAGATAGATATGAGCAGATTTCAATAGATAGATAGATAGATAGATAGATAGGATTTCGATAGATAGATAGATAGATAGATAGATAGATAGATAGATAGATAGATAGATATGAGCAGATTTCGATAGATAGATAGATAGATAGATAGATAGATAGAAAATATTACCAGCAATAAAAGTCTTGTCGGCATTAGATAACCCATTGAGGTTGATATGCCGTAAAAGAAAACAATATATACTTATATAGATAGATAGATAGATAGATAGATAGATAGATAGATAGATAGATAATGAACATATTGACATAGATAGATATGAACAGAATGAGAGATCAACATTAATAATCTGAGATAGATAGATAGATAGATAGATAGATGCAAAAAGGAAGAAAAAAGAATGGCTGATGATCCAACACACTGCAGAAGAAAGAAAAATGATGAAAAGCGGGGAAGAATTTTAAGGAGGAAGAAAGAAAAAACCTATTCACAAGTTACAAGGAAATGAAAAATAACGATTATATATATATATATATATATATATATATATATATATATATATATATATATATATTTGGTTGGATAGATGTGAGTTTGTGAAACTTCGCTACACTCCCAATCTTTGAATTTCAACATACAAATGCGTATGTATAGACACAACACCACCCGTATACATACATATGTCATATCCGAAACTGCCCACATATGTTTATACATGTATGAGTCCCGACGGACGACCAAGAATGTATATGTGTCTGCATACATCGATGTTTGCGTTAGTACGATAAATGACAAAACGACGACGTTTCCCCCACCACTCCCACAATAACACCAATACACGCAATCTACATAAACCCAAAATTTTAAAAAATTAATCAGTTTGCCTGACGATCGCTAAAGCGTGAAACCCAGGGTCACAAACTCACATCTATCCAACCAAATATGTTAGCTCTATCTCTGATATTGAGCGCTTTCTAATAAGTACCGCGCATATAATATATAAATAATTATACATATATATATTTATTTATATTTATATACACACACTTTTCATATATATATATATATATATATATATATATATATATATATAATTTTTGTTTACATCCAGCCGACATTCGATTTTCCCTTTTCTTTCGTCCTCGGTTGTTTTTACCTCCCATTTTCTCACTTTATTTCATTCTCTGGCTTATTACTTCTCTTCACCATTTTCTCTTTTTTCCTCTCTTTTACTCTTTTCATGTTTCTACCTATTTTCTTTCTTTTTTTTCATCCCCTTCCTCCACTGAATTTTTTTCCTTCTTCACCTCCCCACCTTCCTTATTTCTCCCTTTCGTTTCTCCTTTTTCCGAGCACCTAATCAAGCCTAGCGTAACTTAGCGTAACTTTTTGACGTAACTTTCTAATTTTCTTGGATGCTGCACATATCTGGAGCTATGCGACTGGCTCCATTCTTGGCTTACTCCCATTTTGTATAAACGCTCTTTGTTTGAAATAAAACGCCGATTTCGAATACATAAGTACCTTTCCCTCGCTTTACACACACTCACACACGCATACACACATCCGAGGATAAATCAGAGAAAGCCAATTTTGAAATTACGCGGCAAAAAGAACAGGGAGGAGTTGACCGCGCGTGCGCATGTGATGACGGCTAGCCAGCCAGGCGCAGCAGTTCATCATTCAGTCGATAACAGGGAGCAACGAGGTCAGACGTATGGATGTTCCACTCAGCGATTACACCGTTGAGGAACAACGCGCTGTAGCGCGCTTTCTGTTGGCAGACTTGCGGAAATCTATCGCCGGATTTTGGCACAGTACAGAGCACGCAACCATTAATCTACGAAAGGTGTTCGAGTGGGTAGAGCGACATAAAACGGGAAGAACAAGAGTAACGGACGAAAAGCTGATCTGGTCGCCCGTCAACATTGCGCACGGAAGAACACATCCAGTGGGGTGGATGTCTTGATCAGGGGTAGACCGACGAACCACGTTGGGACAAGTGGCGCCAATTCTGGGCATCATCTATGGATCTGCACAAGCCATGGTACCTGAGAACCATAGTTTGTGCGTATTGGGTGTCCAAGCAAGCATGTGCTGCAGCTGTAGCTTCATGAGCAACCGGAAGTGATGAAGAAGCTCGTTGTTCGATACCAGAAGTGCATCGTCGCGCAGAGGGGCTATATCGAAAAGCCAGTTATGTACCATGCTTGATACACGCTTAAGCGATCATGTATCTTTCGATATATTTTTCCCCACAGTAGGTTGCCATTTCTTTCTGCGCTAGACTAGTATAGCGTATAGGACCCGATCTGTCCTGCTATTTACCCATAGATGGGGGCTGGCAGAAGAGGATTCATATCTTTCCCAACAGTATTAGCATGTAAGAGAATGTAATGGATTCGACTGGAAATCGAACTCGGCTCTCGATTCGATTTCCAAAAAGCCAACCAATCATAATTAATACCTTAAAAATAGAAAAAATAACTTCACCATTTAAGCACTAGTTTATTAATAACAACGAACGGACACAAGTGTACATATGCTTGTCTACGCGCGTTTGTATATGTATATATATGCAAGTGTGCATATTTATATAAGTATATGCATGTATCTGTGTGTACGTGTGAGCAAGCATATAAATACAGGCATATGCACATAAATTCAAACTATAATAAATAAAAATTAATTATAAACCTAATTTACAATTAATATTTTAACAGTTCAATTTAATACTTAAGATACCACCAAACCAAATAAGAAAACGAAAGACTAGGCAAGTGAAGACGTATAAAAATATCTACTTTATCATTTAAGCATAATATTTACCCAGTCTCCCCACTGAGAGGGGATGTGACGCAAGGGATCATTGTGGGGAACAGCAACTTAGTCGCACTCTTCCTGAAGACAGAGATGCAACAGAGATGATAATCCACAGCCTGTATGTGTAATTTAATTTAATTTAATGGCAGACCAAAAATATTTCTAAAAAATTAAAAATAATGATTGATTCGTTTTCTACGGATTATCAACCCTTTGTAGGTTATTTAAAGCCAGAAAATATATTTAGATAGTAAGAATCTTCTTTTCTTTTTTAGATAATAAGGATTTACTGACACAAGTCTGCCTAATTAACCCATAGCTGGTGGGAGAAGAGGTGGATTCATACCTTTCCCAATGGTATTTACGCTTAAGAGAATATAGCAGACCCAACGGGAATTAAAACTCGGTTATCCGATTAACAATTCCGTGTCATTACGTCACGCGCAAATCCAAGCTTACAGCACCTGGTATACCAAAGCCATCACCCATCTAGATAATGACCAGGATCGACATTGCTTAACTTGATCTTACGGGAGTTTTCCGACAATTGTAATTTTAACGAGATTTTTTTTTTTTAAATTTGAAGGAGAAAAAGGCTGAACTAATTATCATTGTCTATCGTCTCTGACAATACAAGCGACCGGAAGAAGCTAAAACTAAAGTATATTTTGACCTCAGGGTTTCCCGCCGGAAGTACATGCAGGGATATCTATCCATGCGCGATATGACACTACAAATACCCCGATATAGTGCGGCTGTTAAAAAAAGAAAACAAAAACAAAACCTCTCTAAATACTACCAAAGACTACGGTCTCTTTGTTAGACATTTTATGACGGTCGTCTTCGAGTATAGAATCCAGAGGTTAGCAGTGAATATTTCGGAGACAGTAGGAAAGCGTAGTTCAGTTTAGCAGTGGATATCGCAGCAAAGTAGCAGAGCGTAGTACTTCCTTCTGTCATCTTCGCCTGACAAGTTGGCACTGGTCATTCGGGTAGGGTAAACAAAAATGGCCGCCTTTATACACGACGGATACAATGTTCTGCGGCTTCTGATTGGTTAACCTTCTATTGGTGGACTATAAAGGGAGTTAAGTCATTTTGACTGGCTCACTAGATATATAACATATACACAAAAAAACTGTTACACTCTTTACTACCAGTGGGGAAGCTGAAACCAGAAATATATCAATTCAGGACCCTATCCATGCATGACATAGCAGTGGAAATACCCTGATATTACGCGACTGTTGACAAGAGCGGCCTCTCTAAGCGCTACCAAAGAGCTCGGGATCCTTATTACGAGTCGGTTTGCAGCAATCAGAAAACTGCCAACCCGGGTACCATCTGAAGTAAAAGTAGCAGCCACTGATCAGTCAGATAACGAATACTTTAAGGCAGTTTAAGCCATTAATATCATAGAAGAAAAGAACTGGTCAACCACATCCTAAACAGAATGCAAGGAATAAACCTCTACTCCTGTTCAATAGATATAGAAGGAGTACAGGCCAGGTGGTAGGTGAACCTATTTACTTCTAAATCATATTTTTTTCACAGCGTTAGGCACACGTAAACAATAAGACAGTTTGACGGACATGAAGCTATTGAGTTTTTCTTCTTCTTCAAATTTATGATTTTATTGCTCAGTTCAGAGTAAAAGATTTTCCAGACTGAGTGGGAAGAGAATGTACGAAAGGAAGTCAAAAATTACAGTGTAAACATGGCCGCGCCGCTAGCAGTGCAAGCCAAGGAAAAACAAAGAGCAGTGATGCGAACCTACAGAGAACATGCTGCCTCATTGCCATTACCATCTCTCGAGCTTGGTGAATCTTTTCGTCAGTGTTGGAGGTTGATGGGCGCCCTGCTCCTTCTTAGTGTGTCACGCTTGCCCGGCCACTTTTAAACTTCTCAATCCACTCATACACACTTCTACGCAGTAGTGCACTGTTGCCATATTGTGGTAAAAGCCACCAATGAATTTCAGCCTCTGACACAAGTTCTGACTAGAGAAATCGGACCACTGCTCTTTATTCCTCTTTGGTGCACACTGCTAGTGGAGCGGTGATGTTTACACTGTAACAGCAGCAAACAAAAATTGGCGCGATCAAGCTCAAACTTTGATCACGTGACCACAAAACTACCGACTATAAGCACGCACGAGTAGAAGGCAGCGTGACAAACATAAGATATGTTATGGAGAAAGTGCGGTTAATTTTTAACTTACCTTAGAATTATTCCAATCATTCATTTCGAACTCAAATTGTGTTTGAATGTGTGTGTGTGTGTGTGTGTGTGTGTGTGTGTGTGTCTATGTTTGTGTGTACAATAAAAAGCAGAAGCACATGTAACTTACTTATACACAAAGTCCTGGGTGTGTAAACAGCTCTCTCGAGTGGTTTGTAGCACATTACTTATCATCTCTCAGTTGCGTCCCTGTCTTTGGGCAGAGTGCACTCAAGGGCGACTCCGTCAAAGGACAGAGTCGCAACTGAGGAAAATTATACTGAGAGGTGCCCAGCACTGGGGAACAGTTCCCCGAGGCCACGTCCACTCATTACAGCAGAGAGAGGGATCGGTGTTCGCGCCGAGGCCAGCGCAACCACAGGTTGCGTGGGCAATTTTGTTCCTGGCCTGAGTTTGCGCGCTCGAGTCCTCACTTTAAAAAAAAAACCTTGTGTCACAACTCATTTTAATGGGGAGACAGAGTAAATACTTAGTCTTGGGTATGACGAGAATCTAAATCCAGTAGAAAGACCCTGATCGGGAGATTTGATGTTTTGAGGAGCGGGGAATCATGTCTTAATTGCTGTTGTAATCAGGTTCACCTTGGTCCAGGGTGGTAGCAACTTTTAAGGATCATGCAATGGAAATATAGTAACCCTCTCCAAACAAAGACTAAAACACCTTGAAAGTATAAAGATACATTTTTATAGTAAAATTACTAGAAATACATTTTTAAAGTAAAATGTCCAGTGAAAGGTTTTATCAGTATTTGAAGGCGTATAATTTAGTTGAAGGCCGACAATTTCGTTTAAAATATATTTGGTTGAAGGCCGAGAATTGCGTTCAAAATATATTTACTTGAAGGTATACAAATGAATTGAAAATATAATTAGTTGAAGGCATATAATTGAGTTCAAACAATTGCGTTTAAAATATATTTTATCGAAGGCCGACAATTGCGTTTAAAATATATTTACTTGAAGGTATACAATTGTGTTCAAAATATTTACTCGAATGCCGATAATTGCGTTCAAATATATTTAGTTGAAGGCGTATAATTGCGTTTAAAATATATTTTTCTGCAGGCATACAATTGCATCCAAAATATATTTTGTTCAAGGTATACAATTTCTTTAAAATAAATTTAGTTTAAGGTATACAAATGAACTGAAAATATATTTAGTTGGAGGCATACATTTGCGTTCAAAATATATTTTGTCGAAAGCATATATTTGTGTTCCAAATATATTTTGTCGAAAGCATATAATTGCATTCAAAATATATTTAGTTGGAGGCATACATTTGCGTTCAAAGTTCATTTACTCATATCGTTGTGTTTAAAATATTTAGATTTCGTGTTATATAACCCATAGAGATTGGTATACCACTGAACAAAATCAACCAAACAACACCGATATACGCATGAACATTACATACGAACATACAAGTCACATGCAGACAGTGTGTGATAGACAGAGAATCAGCCCCCACCCTTTTCACTTGTGGGTTCGATCCTTGATATCTTCCTGCTAGATGTAAGTTAATATATAGTCTCGAGATGAAAGACGATGATGATGGCTTAAATTACAGAATTGGCCAACATATCTGTTAGGGATCACAGAGTATGGCCCCGACATTTTGTTTGTTTCTGATCTTGAACAAGAGTCGCTACTTGACAAGCACGAAGATGAATTGCCAAGGTCAAACATCAGTCTCCCTTAACCAGCCGAAATGAAATAGTGACAGACGATCAATTGTGACGATGAAGCCTTCAGGGTGAGTTTTGATGTTCGTCTTTCGTTCTTACCGCTGTAGTTGTCAGTCACTTCCGGTCAAAGGTTATGGCTTTTTATGAGAGAAGCTGAAAAGAAGAGCAGGTCGTTACTCGACTTGGTTATACTCTGGATAACCTGGTTGTCAGGTTTGTTGCCAAAAATATTTCAAGACTCAAGATAGAGGTGTCTGACGACAAAAAGAACTGCTTGTTATTGTGAGAAGGACTGACGCGATCCCACCACACACATGCATGCAGACACACAAGCACACACACATACATACATGCATACATACACAGACACATATTTATTACTTCAAACGTTATTATAGTGTATACTACTTATTTGAAATAGCTTGATTGTTTAGTGGTATTTCAACACCTTATGGGTCATTTAATATTGGAATTTAATTTTCTTGGGAGAATTAGTAGTTTCTTTGACAGATATATTGCTGGTATACTTTTTTGTCATAAATGTATTGTTGGTAATTATTTTTTGAAAAATTTATTAGTGGGAATATTTTTTTCAAAAATGTATTGCTGGTAATATTTTTTTTACAAAAATGTACTGTTAGTAATATTTATTTTACAAAAATAAAAATGTATTGCTGGTAATATTTATTTTCCAAAAATGTATTACTGACAATATTTTTTTACAAAAATGTATTGCTGGCAATATTTATTTTCAAAAATGTATTGCTGGTAATATTTTCTTACAAAAATCTATTGCTGGTAAGGTATTATGAAAGGTATTGCTGGTATTTTTACTATAAAAATGTATTTCAAATACTTTTATAGTTTTTTTGACTCCAGTTTGAAGGTTAACTATTTGTCCATAGCTGGGCCCCTAAATGGTGTTACTACCCCGGATCAGTGTGGACCTGGGGACAGCAGCAATTAAGAGTTGGTTCCACGTTCCTAAAATCCTCCCAATCAGAGGCCTTGCTGCCAGGTGTAGTTTATCGTCATATCCAGGACGGTATTTGAAATTGACGGCCCATTATATACACAGAAACGGGCACACATATATAGGTACTTCCAAAGAAAAATGATAGTTAAGGATTTAAATGAATTTTTAACAATGAAAAATCTTACATGAAGCTTTTATTTTGGTTTTAATTTCAAGTTAATCGATTAAATTTAATATTTCCAATATGCAAAATAATTTCGAAACCAATTTAAATTGATTGGAACGAGTTTTTTTTTTCAATCTATAAAAATGGCTGATTTTAGCAATATTTAGTCATATTTACAAATCAGTCAGTAGCACAAAGTAATTCTCTTTCTTCTCGTCTCGAGAAAACAGCTACCCGACCCCGTTTTATATGGGGAATTTTTGGCCGAGCCTACGGGTTCGGATACCCCACGTTAAATTCGGCCTTGTGTCACATCTGACCGTGTTGGGCAGTTGGTAGATATCTTTGCTTCAGGAATTAGTTGGGGATTCGTCTCCAGCTGTGCTGCTCAAACTCTCTGCTTCCGGGCAGAGAGAATCCCCAGACGAGGCTATGTCGAAGCGCAGAGCCTCGTCTCGGGAAAACAGCTATCCGACCCCGTTTTATATGGGGAATTTTTGGCCGAGCCAACGGGTTCGGATACCCCAACTTAAATTCGGCCTTGTGCCACATCTGACCGCGTGAGGCAGTCGGTATATACCCTTCCTTCGGTAATCACTAACCTCTCACCCGATTCCCCTGTCTTTCAGTAGTGTATTCTCTTTTACAATAAACCTTTCTTCTTTCATCTCCGCGTGTGTTACTGTTCCTTCACTCGATTACCACCTTTTTCTCTGTTTGTAACCTCATTAAAGTTACAAAAATTGTTTATTGGAATGGTTAGAAAACACCGGCTAATTGGTAATTCATTCAAACTTTATAAAAAGGTAAATAAGGATTTCCTTTTAGTTGGTTTTGATAATTAGTAAATGTTTTAATAATTTAGTAAAGGTTTATAAATTTATGAAGAGAAAATTGTTTTCATATTTAGTTCTTTATATACTGGAAAATGATAAATAATGCATTGAATTAGTTTTAATTGTATTAATTTTTAGAATGTTGTAAATATAAAATTATTGTAAGTTTTTAAGATCAGACTTACTATAAAGACAGGAGTTTGAAGCAAAAAGACTTACTATTAACTCAGGAGTCTGAACCAATCAGACTTATTATTAACACAGGAGTTTGAACCAATCAGACTACTAAGACAAGAGTTAATAGTTATGTCATCAGCATAGATACTGTGTAAATAACTGATGGGAAAATAGAAACAACGTATGTCCAAGAATAGAACCCTGGGAGACACACCTGCATTAAAATTAAAAAAAAATGATCTAGAAGAGTGGCCATTCAAGACAACTTTCATTTCGCGATTTGGTAAGAAAGATTGAACCGGGTCAAAATTTATCAAGAACTAGCGTAACCCTTCAACTTGTGAAGAAGACCAGCATGCCAAAACTTGTCAAATGCCTGCGAGATATTCAAAGCAACAGCCGAGCTTCCCCATTCTCATCTAAAGTATGATAGACTATTTCAGTAATAATCGTTAATGCATCAGCAGTTGAAACAGAGAAGTGAAGGGCATACTGCTTATCTGAAAGAAGACGTTAAAGTTGATTAGAGCCTTTCGAACTTTGCCAAAAAGAAGTATAAGGCCAATAGTTGGAAGGATCAGACGGTTCACCTGTGTTCTTAAACAGTGGAATGACAGAAGAAGATTTCTAACAAACAGGAAAGCAAGAAGCAGCAAAGCATTACTGTAGAGTTTAGAGAGGACCTGAGCACATTTCTTTAGGACTATTACAGGGATTTGGGTTGGTTGTTATTGTTTAGCGGCATATCAACACCTCTATGGGTTATTTAATGCCGAAATCTAAATATTTGGATTTCGGTTGGTTGATATTGTTTAGCGGCATATCAGAACCTCTATGGGTTATTTAATGCCGAAATCTAAATATTTGGATTTTGGTTGGTTGATATTGTTTAGCGGTACATCAACATGTCTATGGGTTATTTAATGCCGAAATCTAAATATTTGGATTTTGGTTAGTTGATATTGTTTAGCGGCATATCAACACCTGTATGGGTTATTTAATGCCGAAATCTAAATATTTGTATTTTGGTTAGTTGATATTGTTTAGCGGCATATCAACACCTCTATGGCTTATTTAATGCCGAAATCTAAATATTTGGATTTTGGTTGGTTGATATTGTTTAGCGGCATATCAACTCTTCTATGGGCTATTTAATGCCTAAATCTAAATATTTTGTACGAAATTTTATTATTATTATTATTTTGGAGTTTATAATGGTTTTGCTGATACAATTCTTACTAATTTACCCCTTAGCCGTGGATGAGAAGAGGTTGATGTAAATCCTTCCTAAGGGTATTTGCGCGTATGTGAATATAACGAACCTGGCTAGAATTGGAACTCGACTCTCCGATTAACAGTTAATGACATTACACCATCCACATATCGAAGTTTACTTGGTATTCCGAAGAGGTCACCCATCTAGGTACTGACCAGGCTCAACGTTGTTTAACTTCGGTGATCGTACAGGAACCGGTGCTTCAACATGATGAGGAAATAAGCCGAGAACAGGAACTAATTCAGGAGAACATTACGGAACTATATGAAAGAACTTTGAGAAATCTATGACAGGAGAATTTTGGCTTGAAAACTATTAAATTGACTACGCCTGATCATCTGTTCTTTCGTGGCCAAGTAGTAAGGCGCTCCGGGCTAAAGGGTAACATCCTCTTTCCTAAATGTTCCTGACGAAAAGCGCAATTTTTTCTTGCTATGAAGTCGTATGTGTTTTGTGCGTGGGTCCATTGCTTAGTTATACAGAAAATGTGACACTCTGTTTTAGCTTTCCTTTACGCGTATGTGATAAAAACCCGCATAAATTGGTGAGATAGATAGATAGATAAAAATTTCTCGAATATTCAGACCGGCAGATGGAAATAAATAAAAATATGCTGTTTAGCATATAATAGTGGATACTTAAATATGAGCATCCATTAAAAAATAACGTTTAAAGTGGTACACCTATACATATATATATATATATATATATATATATATATATATATATATATATATATATATATAGGAAGGAACACTGCATAGTGACTGTCACAAATCAATGCAGACTTGCTATTATGATTGCTTTCAAGTATAAAACCGACAGTCACTATCCAGTGTAGATAGCTACGTCCACAAGTCTGCTCATATCTATCTATCTATCTATCTATCTATCTATCTATCTATCTTTCTAAATATACATAGGCCAGCCTATTCATCTATCTGTGACAGTACATTCATGCTATCGCTTTCTCTCTCTCTCTGGCTATCACTCGCTCTGTCTGCTAACCCCCATCTCTCTCCATTTATCTATGAGAATATTTTATTATCTATCTATCTATCTATCTATCTATCTATCTATCTATCTATCTATCTATCTCATTCACTCTCTTTAAATCTACATGCATCAGTCAAATCGTTTATCTATGCCAAATACATTTATACTATCTCTTTCTAGCTCTATATCTCAATCTGTTCTCCTATATCTATCTATCTATCTATCTATCTATCTATCTATCTATCTATCTATCTATCTATCTCACCAATTTATGCGGGTTTTCATCACATACGCGTAAAAGGAAAGCTAAAACAGAGTGTCACATTTTCTGTGTAACTAAGCAATGGACCCACGCACAAAACACATACGACTTCATAGCAAGCAGTTTTGAATTAATTTCGTGATCAAAATACGTTTTAATAAGCTTTTACCATTGTCCACACACCAAGAAAAATGCTAAACATAATAAAAAAATGCATAATTTTGCTCGGGCTGTTTATCTAATTGAAATTTTTATTATCTAAAGATTAAATAATAAAAACCTATCAAGCTATTTGCCCACCATTTTGTAAATCCGAAATAAATATAAAAAGCAAAAGAAAAGATTTCTACTTATAAGGTTTACAAACAATTTATTTTAGGTGGAAAATAATTAGAGCCTGCAATTAATCAAAATAATTAAAGCTATTCACACAATTCACAGGGGTCTTTTTTTTAAATTCACACTGTTCAAGTGCCGGCACCGTTTGAAGTCAGTTTTTGAATTTTTGTTTTCCTTTTTTAGAGAAAAAAATTTCAAAACGTCTCAGAATAATTATTTTGTCAAATTGCGTCTGTTGTGCACTCAGGGCATTTTTGTGGTGTGCAGGAATGGTTGACGACATTTTTTTTATTCAGTTACCTCCCTTTGTTTGCCAGAGGGCGCTATTGCATAAGCGGGCTTATTGGGACAGAAAAGGTGAAAATAAATAAATAGATGAAAAAAGAAGTTAAATGAAAAGTAATAGTAAAAATAAAAATAAACGATATTAAGATAACATTTGAAAATGAATCAAAGATAAAAGAAATGCATAAGAATTTATAAAATGTTTAAATAATCCAATAAAGTATTACCGAAGAATTTTTATCTCAGACAATGATAAACAGCAGTTATTTGAAAAGTAAATGGTATCTATCTATCTATCTATCTATCTATCTATCTATCTATCTATGCCAGTTATTCTTTCTTTCTTCATTTCTATGTATGTATGTATATATCTATCTATGCTAATTTTTTCTTTCTTTCATCATTTCTATCTATGCCAGTTTGTAGCGAAATCGGTAAAAGTACGTTAGGCTATATGACGGTTCCCTATAGGATACAGGTTCGATTCCTGTCGGAGGACGCATGTTTTCTATGACAATTTCTCGGACATTCAAGCCGGTAAATTTTGTTAATACTGCTTATTATAAACAGAGCATTTACTTAAATATTTATATCTATAAAAAAGAATGTATAAACATAAAAATGTCTTAATATATATATATATATATATATATATATACACAGTGGTATGCAAAAATAAGTGAACCCTTATATTTAGTGACTCCTCCTTTTGAGGTCACAACGTCGACCGGTTTTTTTTTTTTATTATTTTTAGATATTATTTAAGAAGTTTCTTGTAGTAGTGAGTGCCAATTTTTGACCATTCTTCTTGGCAGAACTCCCACAATTGCTCGATATTAACTAGGTTTCTTGCATGTACTGCATTCTTTAACTTGAATGACAGAATTTCAGTTGGGTTTAGATCACGACTTTGACCATTCCAAGACTTGAAATTTCTTTTTTTTTTTTGAACGTATTCTTTTTATTTGGATCATTGTCCTGCTGGAAGATCCAGCACTGACCTAAACCCAACTTTCGAACCGAGGGCAAGACACTTTCGTTCAAAATTGCTTGGTATCTTGCAGAGACCGTTGTGCCGTCAATGTGTACAATTTTGCCTGTTCCAGCTGCAGCAAAGCACTTCCATATCATAATGCTGCCACTGCCTTGTTTAACTGTTGGTCCCAAATTTTTCTCTTCAAAAGCCGTATTAAGAGCTCGACAGATGTATCGCCTATCGTTCTTCCCCCAAGGCTCTAGATTATTCTCACCCGGCCATAAAACCTTTTGCCAGAAGGTTTCTAATTTATTAATATGAGCTTTGGCATAGTTAGCCGAGTTTTTGCTTTTTCTGCCATGAAGACTGGCGTTCAGATTTCGTTGCACTGTAGACTTATACACGTTGATCCCGACATTGGGCAGAGAGCTTTGGAGAACCGCAGATATCACAGCAGTTGTAACCTAGGGAAAGTTACTGAATAGGATAAACGCACGAACGTTAGTAATGAACGACTATACTTAGAACACGAAGAACACGCATAAGATTCGCCAGCGGCGCGTAGATGAAGTAGTCAACTGCTTGAAATGAGTCAATTGAATTCCACAATGAATCTCCAACTGCAGGCCAAAAATTCCCCGTAGACACCGTATAAAACGGGGACTGGTAGCTGTTTCCCGAGACGAGACTCTGCCCTTCGACATAGCCTCTTCTAGGAATCCTCTCTGCCCGGAGACAGAAAGTTTGACCAGCACAGCCAGAGACGAATCTCCAACTGCAGACCAACATACAGTATTTACTACTGTATTTATGTGAATGGGGACATACTATGGTGTGGCCTTTTTGAAGATAGTCAATAAACACGATAGCTTTGCATCTCAAAAAACTGAGGACATTACCCTCCTTGCAGATGAAACGACCAGGACCTATTTGGAGCAGGGAAGAAGGTGTGTTTCCACTCTATGGATTGTATCTTTGTCTCTGGATAAATGTGATGAATCCAACACACAACCTGGGTTAGGAAGCCAGTTGGATTTGCCTCAAACATTGTCAGATTTCTCTGTGATGTGATCAGCCTGGTGTGCTTTTGAAAAGCTGTCAGAAGTCGCGGCACCCACCAAGCAGAAAACTTTGTCAGGCCAAGTTCATCGTGCAGAATATTCTCAACTCTCGTACGGAATATGCTAATCGCATTGGCTATTTGATTTATAGTCAATCGCCTGTCATCCATGAACACGATCAATGTTTCCATCGGTGGTGGCAGTTGCAAGACTTCCAGACCTTGGGTCATCTTTATGACTCTACCTTCTCCTCCTAATTTCAACAAGTATGGGGGGGGGTTCTAAAATCTTTTTCTGGTACTTGATAACACCACGATTTCAAATTTAGTCCATTTTCAAGAGAAGTCGTTACTAGTTAATTTTGAATCTTCCTGAAACAGGCTTTGCCGTTTTTAGCCAACATAATTTATTTCGCCCGTGATTTGCTCATTGGTTTAAGTGGGTTTTTATTAGATACATGTAAGAAAAGTTTAAACATTAGAAGACATTTAATTGTTTCTCTTTATACAACCATCCTTGTCTGGTTAATGGTGATAAAAATTTCTAGATACTGAAATATTCCTGAATTTCAGGCAGAAATTATTACTGAAATGTTTTATCGAATCTAAGTCAGAATTTTGTTGGGGTATAACATTCATCTCGAACATGGCATCCTCATTACTCTGATTAATGATGACTATGCCTTCTTAATTTGTATGAATAAAATATTCTTCTGGAAGACTTGGCATCACCCTAATAACATGTATGTAACAACCAACCGCTTTAGAAGAAATTGCAGCATTATTTTAAAGAAGGAATAAAATAAACAATTAAAATTCTCCCAAATTTTGACATTAGGAAGAAGTAAAAGCGAAACAAAGCAAAAAAAAAAAAAGCAAAAAAAAAAAAAGCCTTTCTTCAGACGGAACCTGACTTTGCCAATTTGAATTTTGCTGAACGAAACGAGAGCTTTTACAAATTAAAATTTACACGCAAGTCTGAGATGTTGTGGGTTGGCGAAAAAGCACATCGCGCATGAAGAAGGACGTATCGGACGAGGGACAATTTTTTTTTTTTTCATTTTCGGCGATTTCTTTGAAAGATTTTTTTTTGTTCAAAGAAAAAAAAAAATTAAAGTCGTTTAATTCTTATTCAAAAAATGTACAAAATGCAAAAGCAAATGTTCTTATAAAATTAAAAAAATATATTAACGAATGACGACAATGAAATTAAAAAGGAATGAAGGGAAACATTTTTTTAAAGGGGGGGTAAAATTGGGTAAAAGTATTTTGGGTTAGAGTGATGAAAATAAAATGAAGGAAAAAAAAAGAAGGAATGGAAAACGAAAGAAATATCCACACGATTTAAGAACGAAGGAAAAATACCAAATAAGCAATAAATAAATAAGTAAAATAAAACGAAATAAATGAAAAATGAAAAAAAAAAAGAAAGAAAAAAACCTGGGCAATTAAGCTCCGACATGCATTGAAATCTCTTAAATAGAAAAGAAAAGACAAATTTTAAACTTAGCAAATTCCAAAGAAGTAGTGGGCAAAGGAGTGCAAAAGAGGAAGAGGGAGAAAGAGAGGGGAAAGAGGAGAGTAAAGGAAATGGAAGGAAAAATAAACTGATTAGTAAAAGAAGAGGAAAACTAGAAGAGGTTAAAAAAAGAAGAAGAAAAGAGAAATACAAATGGAAGAGGAAAGAAAGTAATACAGAAAGAGAAAAAAAGAGACAAAAGGGAGAAAGAGAAGTAGAAGAAGAAGAGAGAGGGGGAAAACGATATGGAAAAAGATAAAAAATACAGAGACAGAGAAAATAAAAAGACAAAAAAGTGAAACAAGCTACAGGCCGAAAAAATGCATAAAATGGTTAATATATTTTGTTATCTTTTTGATTTAAAGTCTCGTAGAAGCATGTCTCATCCGAGATTCACGTTGAGAAGACGATAATGCAGAAAAAGATATGTGAAAAACCGTTCCATAACATTCCCATTTAAAACTTAAGACAATACTGGCAGAGTGAAGCATATATTGATAGGAACATTCTGCTAAACAGTATCGATAAAGATCTTCGACCAAGAAATATATTGACTAGTTAAAATATTTCGTCATATAATCATAATTTCGTTATATCTAAATTTAAAAGCAAAAAACAAAAAAAACTAACAAAAAAAAACAAAAAAAAACAAACTAAAATCTTATATTGTGACCAAGTCCAGTTAACATAGGATCCAAATCTTTTCTTACTTTTTTGTAGTCACTGCATAATTTTTTAGTCTTTGTTTTAGATGTTCTTATTAATAAGTGCATTTACTTCCAGCTAAACTGATATCTGACTGTTTCAGGAAGATTCAAATTTAACTAGTAACAACATCCCTCGAAAATCGTGGTGTTATCAAAAGTACCATCAGAAAAAGATTTTATCCCTTCTTGGTTGCTGAAATTAGGAAGCGAAGGTAGAGTCCTATAGAGTCTATAATAGGATTATGATAGAGCCACTGATATCCATGGTGTGCTTGACGCGCTCCAGAGAAACTGAACCTATTTCTAATCCAGGATTCAGCGCAATGCTTTCTAGTTTTATGCCCTGTTCAATAATTGAACCAGAATTCCCGCAATTGAACCATTGACAACAAAACAAGTAGTCAACTGGCATCTGATTAGATTGTTACTGGCTTGATATTCCCCAGTCTTTGTGATGGTTCAAATTCTACGATGGGATTGTGATAGAGCCACTGATATCAATGGTGTGCTTAACAGTTCCAGGACAACTGAACCTATTTCTAATTCAGGATTCAGCACAAGGCTTTCTAGTTTTGTGCTCTGTTCAATAATTGAACCAGAATTCCTGCAATTGAACCATTGACAACAAAACAAGGAGTCAACTGGCATCTGATTAGAGCGTTACTGGCTCGATATTTATATATATATTTTCCTTTATCGCTTGCTATAACTTCCATGATGGGATTGTGATAGAGTCACTGATATCAATGGTGTACTTGACGGCCCCAGAACAACTGAACCTATTTCTAATCCAGGATTCAGCGCAATGCTTTCTTGGTGTGTGCTCTATTCAATAATTGAACCAGAATTCTCAATGACAAATGAATCATGAGTCAATTAGTTGTCTGATTAGAGAGTTACTGGTTCGATATATATATATATATATATATATATATATATATATATATATATATATATATATATATATATATATATATATATTTTCAGAATTTATTCAATAGATTACGTTGCATTTCAATTTTTTCCTGGATTTTTCGCTTTGTGCCATTTTTTTCCTATTTTCCCATTTGTGTTATTCTTACCCGTGCCATTTTTACCGTGCCATTTCTAACTGTGCCATTTTTACCTGTGCCATTATTTCTTATTTTCTCTTTGATCTTTGTCCTCCTTTTCTTCCTATCCTTTTTTTGTCTTTTCTATTTTTTATTCATTTCATGCTTTGCTCTTAATCGCCATTTTCCTTCCCGTTAGAGTTGGCCTTCTGTATATAGAAAAGAAAGTGATTTTACTGAGGAAAAATATATATATATATATATATATATATATATATATATATATATATATATATATAGAGAGAGAGAGAGAGAGAGAGAGAGAGGAAAGAGAAACACCGAAAGAAAAAATAAGGAAAAAGATAGAAAAAAGTCGGAAAACAATAAAGAGGGAAAGAAAAAAATGCAAAGAAACAAAGAACTGAAACTGAAGCAGACGATGCGGTTATTTTACAGTCGAAGGTTGACGGTTAGGAAAAAGAATGCACCCAAGAAAACGGATAAAAAGACAACGAAAAGAAAAAAAAGTATCTACACAGGAGGAATGAAATTAACATGAAACTGAAGCGAAGAAATTTGCTGTACCAAGAAGGCTGGAAAAAGATTAGAATGAAAAAAAAAAGAGTTTTAGCCAAAACGATATATAAAAAGTAATTAAAAAGTTGTAAAGAAGAAAAAATGAAAGTGAAAGCGGAAATGGAGTCCAAATAAAGAAACGAAAGAAAATTCAATAAACAGAATGAGAATTGAAAAAAAATATATAAAAAGAAGAAAGACAAAAAAGAAGGAAAAACAGATAAGAATGTAAAAGACAAAATGTAAGAAAGAAAGAAAAAGAATGAAAGAACGGGGATAAAAAGGGAGAAAATAAATAAGAAAAAAGAGGAAGAAAACGAAAAGGAGTAGAAAAATGGAAGCAAAAGAATAGAAAAAAATAAAAGTAAAAAGAAGATATAAAATAAGATAGTGAAAAAGAATAAAGTTATAAAAAAGGAGTAACATAAGAAGAAACGAAGGAAGAATGTAGGTAAGACGAAGAAGCAATAAAGAAGTCATTAAAAGAGAAAAAGAAAAAGACGAAGAATAAGAAGGAAGAGTAGAAAACAAAAAAGAAAGTGAATTAAGTAAAGGAGAAAGAGAGAAGCCTGAAGAATATGAGGGAAGGAAAATGAAAAAAAGAATAGATTTTTTCTTAGGGGACAAAACGAAGAGGAAGAAGCATAAAAGGAAAGGAGAAGAAAATAAGAAAGAAAGAAAGAAAGAAAGAAAGAGAATGAAGAAGAAGAAGAAGAAAAAGGAGAAGAGGAAAAAGAAATAGCAAAAGTCAAGGAAAAACAAAGGGAAGCAAACGTGAGAAAATGATGGAAAGAAAACGGCGAGGAAAAAACGAAAGAGATAAGGAAAAAGAAAAATGGCAGAAGCAGTTGAAAACGTACAAAAAGAAGATAAAAAAGAAAAGAAAAAACTGCTAATGAAGAAGAAAATGAAGATAATGAAATAGAAGTAAAAATTACAGAAGAAAGAAAGAAAGAAAGAAAGAAAGAAAGAAAGAAAGAAAGGAAAACTGAAAGTTCGGTCAGATTTGGACGGTGGTAGGCAAGACAAACAATTTGAAGCAAAGGGAGATAATTCAGAATAAAAAATGAAAGCCAACATGAAGTACAAGCCCGAATTAATAAATAAAAGAGAGTGCAGATCGATTAAGACTAAAAATAAGCGCGCGAAAAATTTGTTTTGACAGTCCAATTTAGCAAAGAGTTTAATCCGCCGCCATTTTTTTCCAAGCACGCCATTTTGTTTATTTTTTTTTAAGTTTCGATTAAAAAAATCACCACATTTTTTTTTTTAAATTTCATTAAAAAAGGATTTATTTTTTTTCATTTCACTTCTCGTGTTTTGTTAATTGTTCTGTTTTTAAGGTAAAATAAAAATATTTATAGCTATTTTTTGTTGAAGGAAAGAGCGAATTACTGCCTGAATAAATAAAGTGCAGAGTCGATAAAATTCCTTAAAGGAGAGTAAGAAAAGAAGAGAAAGGTGTGATGAGCAGATAACGTGAAGAAAGGGAGAGTAATGGATGGAAAAAGAAGACGTAGAGTGAAAACAATGAAAGTAAGAGAGAGAGAGAGAGAGAGAGAGAGAGAGAGAGAGAGAGAGGAGATAAAATAGAAGTAGATAGGGAAATGAATATTTCATTTTTAAGAGTAAATTTTCTTGAGTATCAGTTTGAACCTGAGAGGAGGACTTTAAAAAGAGGATGAAAAAAGAACCACTAAAAAAAGACATAAAAACTAATATGTATTTAGTAAAAGGCGGAAAAGAAAACGTGAAAAGAAAGAAATGGTAATTGAAAATAGATAATTAACATACCAAAGAACTAGTCAAGAATTCGATGGTGTAGATTTAACAATAGAAAAAAAAAAGCACTGAATGAATCACAAACATTAGTTTTAAGCGACGATCGTCGCCCCATATTACGTACAATTGGCATACACATATAAATACATTGATTACATGAACAGATATTATAGCCATCCGATCAGGTCTCTCGTAACCCATTAGAATCATAGGAGCACCATATGTACTGCAGTCGTAGCGGCAGATGTGCGTCTCGGACAAGATAGCCTAACGAATCCTAAAAACCTCCAGGTTTACCTTCTCCTGGACGGGTTATCAAGCAAGGTTACAGGGCCCACTCTATCATGATATTAAACCATATTTGGGAGACGACGAGATGAGATGTTTTCCTAACTGTCTCAATGTAACGACCTCGACTGGAATTCGAACTCGGCTTTCCAAATTCTAATTCAGATCCGAGTTTACTATGGTTGGGAGTCTATCCCTGTAATAGACACATTTGTGTTCTTTCAATCCCCACATAGCTGATCTATAGCTTATACTACGCCTATAGTGAGCACATCTTAGTTACAGTTTCTGGGGGAGAGCGATTGATCTGGCGTGATCAACCAATACAAGAGAGAGCCACTCAATGTAGAGGGTTACGGGATGAATGAAAAAGGAGGTGGTGAGATGTGAAGATTACATGGCCCAGTGGATAAAGGCGTTGGTTCGATCCAGTGACCAGACCCAAAGAGTTGTGAGTTCAATACCAGGCCACCACAGTGGTGAACCCCTAAACCTGGAGAGCTGAGTTTAAGGGAAATAACTGAGACATCCGGAAGAGGCATAGCACGTGGAACTAGAAAAATCTACCACGGTGGACGAAATAAAGGGTTGAGATGAGGATAACAATCCGAATAATGTAAACAATGTAATATATATATATATATATATATATATATATATATATATATATATATATATATATATCCAAGTATAGGATTGGTGTATACGGAATAAATTCAAATAACCAACAAATACTATTCTCAAAAGAGTGCTCAAAACAGAGTAGAGCAAATATAATTATTTATTCGAAAATTATAACAGAAATATGTTATAAAACCAGTATAAAAAATAGTCATTTTGTTTCAACACTTCTGGTGTCTTATCAAATGATGGTGTTGAATGTATTCAACCCCATCACTTGATAAGACACCATACACCATTCATTCAACCCCATCACTTGATAAGACACCATACACCATTCATTCAACCCCATCACTTGATAAGACACCATACACCATTCATTCAACCCCATCACTTGATAAGACACCATACACCATTCATTCAACACCATGACTTGATAAGACACCATACACCATTCATTCAACCCCATCACTTGATAAGACACCATACACCATTCATTCAACCCCATCACTTGATAAGACACCATCATTCAACCCCATCACTTGATAAGACACCATACACCATTCATTCAACCCCATCACTTGATAAGACCATTCATTCAACCCCATCACTTGATAAGACACCATACACCATTCATTCAACCCCATCACTTGATAAGACACCATACACCATTCATTCAACACCATGACTTGATAAGACACCATGCACCATTCATTCAACACCATCACTTGATAAGACACCATACACCATTCATCCAACACCATCACTTGATAAGACACCAAGCACCATTCATTCAACACAATCACTTGATAAGTGTTGCACCAATTCAACAAAATGATAAGACACTATTTTTGTAACAAAAGTGATTTTATAACATATTTATGTTATAATTTTCGAATAAATAATTATACATGCATATATATATATATATATATATATATATATATATATATATATATATATATATATATATATATATATATGTGTGTGTGTGTGTGTGTAAAAATATATAGAAAATAGAAAAAAAACTCGTTAGGTAAATAATCCAAAGTTCTTTAATATTTTTGTTATTATTTTTAAAAAATAGTGCTCGATACAAAAGTAGACCTAAAAATAATTATTTATTTAATCATATTTTAAATAAATAATTATATATATATATATATATATATATATATATATATATATATATATATATATATATATATATATATACAGAGAGAGAGAGAGAGAGAGAGAGAGAGAGAGAGAGAGAGAGAGAGTGGGAGAGAGAGAAGAGTAGAGATAGTGACCTCCTGATAGAGAAAGTGACAGAGAAATAGATTGCTAGACGGGCATAGAAAAAGAGGTAGCAATTCAGGTAGTGAAAGTAAGCAGTTTATTGATAGTGTACTGAGTTCGATCCTCACTATAAGACCATAAGAATCTGCTTCATGGGTGAGAAAATTTTTTATTTCGTCGTGGCGTCAGATTTTGGCGCCCATGAAATATGACTTTCAAGGCAGGAGAGCATACAGGCAGATCCTATCAACTACCTACTTCCATTTCTCTCCGTTTTATGCTAAATAAATGTCATCGATTGATAGACAGATATTGAGATCGATAATTTAATAGAATGATATATAGGTAGAAAGGCGCTGGAATTAATTTGATTGCTATTTGTTATAAGTGAAAAAAGACACCGAATAACGAAGAGGAAAAAAATATTTAAGAACTGAAGAGAAACACAAAGTAAAAGTGAAAGTAGAAAGTCCGAACAAATAAAAGAAAAAAAAATAATTATAAAAGACGGAAACTTTTTAAAACATTACAAATTAAAAAAAAAAATCAGAGAAGAAAATACTTAAAAAAAAGAATGAGGGGTTGAAATGGCAAACGCTATAAAACGAATAATAAAAAAAAAACTCGACATAATTACAGAAAAGGGTTTGTTAAAAGAAACAAAATTTTTTCAGTCCTAATCCTTATTAACGAAATCGGTACTTGCATAGACGGATCTCTGTTAACAGAATTAGGTCCTAATGGAGTGTCGACATTGTTTCTTTACGGTGTAAGGGCTGGGAAGGGTCAGGCGAGGATTGTCATATTTGTGGTAGCAACTAATAATGAAAGTATGGATAGAAGGGTGGGGTTCACATCGAGGGTGCTGTGGAATCCGGGCGCTAAGGATAAGAAATTTTTGTTGGCAAGGATGCAAAAAGGAAAAAAAAACCCAACTAAATTGGTGTAATCTATATATAAAATTCTGTGTCTTCCGTTAGTCTGTCCGTCATACCCTCTAAAATAACCATACATTGACCGATCAAGACCAAAGTTTGAGAAGAAGGCCAAACAGCGAAGTACAATTAATTTTTATTAGTGTGTTACTACAATACATTTTCATTAATTTTTCGGAAAAAATTAAAAGTTTTTTTTATTTAACATACAAAATAATCACACTGTTTTAAAACAATTTAATGATTAAAATAACGCATACATATTCAATAAATTTGTAATATTGCTTTTTGCAAGTGTATAAGTTTTTGTATATACAAGAATCCAGTTTTCAGTTCGCCTTGCGTTTGCGAGATAAAACACTAAGCCAAACGCTTCAAATAGTTGAAATTTGGCTCCAGAAAGAAATATTTGGCCAGTTCTATGTTGCATGTTCAAGGGTAAGAAAATGAATATTTAAGTAGCAATATATATATATATATATATATATATATATATATATATATATATATATATATATATCATATATATCACTTTCGTAGGTTGAGCACACTCTCTAAAGGTGAGAGTCTCCTACTGATATCAATCGGTCGGGTTTTTATATATATATATATATATATATATATATATATATATATATCATATATATATATATATCAAATATGTGGTGCAGCTCAATTTATATTACAATAAATTATTCATACAAAAGTAGATTAGTAGATAACTTTCAACTGTACATTATTTTCGATTCGCATTTAATTTTTTCGCCTCGGATTCTACCTGGATTTTACTAAAAACAAAATAATTTCCATGCCTGAGGATGACCGAATGTACAATTGAAAGTACTTGCATATTAAAAAAAAGACCTTATACAGCTTGTAGTTATTAAAAAACAAGGATCATAGCATTCATCGGGTGATTTGTAGGTTAATGCAACTTTAAAGTTTTGTTTGCAAAAGGATTTCGCCATTTTATTTTTATATCATTAACTTAATATATAATATATATTTATATATATATATATATATATATATATATATATATATATATATAGTTAAACCTAGAGAGCCATACGATTATTTTCGGTTAACTTACATGTTCTTGGGTCTTTCTTTTTATACCTTTTTTCCCTTTGGTATTGGCTTGTTTATTTGCAAATCAAGACACCGAACGTTTTCCGAGCGAGTATAGTTTCTTATACTTATAAGATTTCTATTATTAATAATAATAATAATAATAATAATATATATATATATATATATATATATATATATATATATATATATATATATATAAGCTATGTTTAGGCAGCAAGTATTCATCCAAACAAGTCCGTCTGTTTAATTTTGTATTATATTTTCCCAATTTTCGAATGTGTTCGAAGTTGTGGATAAACTGCCCAAAGTGTTCGTTCATATCACGTTGTTGTTTCCTTTAATTATTTTTCACCGTCTCAGTCATTTTCAAGAACAAATGTGCCGGTTGTGTGGTCGTTAGAATTCCTTTGTCTATATTTTGGTATTCTTTGGAAAGCTGGAAGTTTAAAATAATCGACGATGACGTCATGTGTAACGGTTATTGGGGGTGAAGCAGCAACAAAACGGAATGCGATTTTTTTATATAATTATATATGTAATTAACGAGTTTGTCTTTGCTTGGAAATCTTCCATGTAAACAGAAACAGACTATCGTTATTGTTTTGTCCGTGTATTGTTTAATATATTGTAATGTAATTGTCATCCTTGATAATGGCTTATGTAAGCCGAAAGCCTAGATAGGATTAAAAAATATGTATCAATATGGTGATTTTCTTTCTTCTTTTAAGGATAATGTTATTAAGCTTATCAGACGTTATGAAAAGAATTTCTATAAAATAAATAGACAAAACTAGTCTATATTATTTAATGAAACACACACACACACACACACACACACACACACACACACACACACATATATACATATATATATATATATATATATATATATATATATTCAATTTAAATAGAAAACAGACAACCTTAGGGGTTCATTGGTTATATTTTTTCCTCAGGTATGTGGTTTTTACCTGGTTCATCAGACCACACTTTCAAAGGTGAAAAAAGTTTTAAATTTACTTATAATTTTTATACACTTTTGGGGGGTAGTTTTTAAGCTGTCGTAAGGTGATCCAGAGAGAGGGGAAGGAGGAGTATGATAGATATGGTTGAAATTAGAGAGGGAAGGGAGAGGTAGAAATAATTTTAAATCTATTTTTACCAAAGTAATTAAGAATAATGGGGGGGGGAGGACCAGACATTGACCTATTTAATAAGTCATCTCACAGGAAACGAGATAAAGAGAAAAAAAAGAGAAGTAAAGATATAAGAAAGCAGAAGTGGAAGTAGGGGCGTGAGGAAAGAAAGGGGAACAGAAAGCGTGGAAAAAATAGAAGAAAAGGAAGAATAAGTTAACATATATGGGCATATTGCGGTTAACTTGAATAAGCACATGTTTATATATTTGGCAGTAAACGTTTGACATTAATTTAAGCATTTAACATTTTTCAATATATATATATATATATATATATATGTATGCATAGGCACACATTGAATATATCATATGCACTTCAAGATACCTTCTGCTGTAGTGAATGTTATTTTTATTTAATATGGGCGATTTCTTTTTTTTTTTTTTATAATAATAGCTTCCAGGGTTTCGAGTCTTTCCTTACATTGAATGATTTAGAGTCTTTTGGTATTACTCATTAATATTTGTCTTTTTTTGATAGTTCTATTTTGGTCGTCCATGATGTGCTGGTCGATATGTGCACGGATAGCACTGTGTTTCAACAGGTGACAGGTCAATAGTAACCAAGTGTCCGTATAGAGACACTGATCTACAAACGCTAGTCAGAGTCTCACGCCATACACGATCTTTAAACGATACACTGCCTAATTTACGTCTTTCGCGTATGAATCCAAACCTTCCACTCTTCTTATCTTTTTAATGACCTCAGGACTTAAAACAACCTATAAAATCGCATAATCTATTTTTTAACTACAAGCAGACGGTATCGCCAGACGTTGATCGTAGTTCTTTTCACTTTCTAAAAAATATGTACGAAATATACAGTCTGTATGAAGCTATGCCAATCACATAAAGCTCAACTCGAGTGGTTGTTTCGCTATATTTCGACTTAGTTCACGTTTACTCTTTGTATCTAATTTCCAATAATATTTTCAGCGGTCTTCTGTATCGTTCGATAGTCTCTACGAAGTTCTTTTGATATCTCCAATGTGCATAGTTTTTATAATAAATTTCATAACATTAATAAAACAAGTTGAAACTGCCAAAAGAATTCACTCAAGTATTGTTTTGAGGTGCAAATTAATCCTTTTTATTACAGACTAGCAGTAGAGTCCGGCATTGCCCGGAAATGTAACAGTAAGAGATAGATCAGGTATCGACCATCATAAAGACTGAAAAATAAAATTGATAAAGATTATTGTTTAAAGTTGACGGACACGCATGTCTTAATTAGTTATTTTTTTTTTTTTTTTACGAATTGGTCAAACTCAAACTCAAACAAAAACATTGTTTTCAATCGTTATGAGTCTACCGATTGAATAGAATTTTACTACAATTGTCTTGTAAATGGAATTTTTAAAGCATTCTGAATGTAAAAATAAAGAAAAAAGTGTGCAAGACAATAAGAAACACTTCCTGCCAAAAAAAGTGAAGTTTTGTTGAAATCGGTTGAAAAATGTAGGAAATCCGATCGCATATATAAACGAACACACACACACACAACCTGGGTTTTATAATAAGTATGATATTAGATTTATAATAAAAACTGCAGTCGGAAACCAAAATTAATTTAAGGACGCTGAAATCTAATAAAAAACCTATTTTTTCTTTTTTTTTTTGCATAATGTATATCGAAACACGAGTAATGGAAAGGATCTTGCTGTTAAAAATTTACTAAAAATTGTTTAAATCAAATTCGAGTTAGTGAAGTTCATGTGATTTGCATAATAACTCCAGACGGACTGTTTATATGTACACATATATACACGTATTAAATAATATTAATATAAATGTGTTCACTTATCTTAAGGGTACTCTGAGTTCGGTGAAATTGAATAAGATCTTCAGGAGACTTAATGGTAAATTTACAATTTGCCAGAGATTCTCATAAGATAAGTGAGGATAAATTACTTTTTTAATGTTATGTCCATTGATATCGTGAGCAATTGCTATCTTTCGGAATTACCCTGGTCCACTGTTCTTTTGCAAAAATACTATCTTCTCTCTCTCTCTCTCTCTCTCTCTATATATATATATATATATATATATATATATATATATATATATATTGTTATGGGACCTTACCCATAATAACATAATGGACTATTCCATACGTAATAAATACTGCGCCTCAAGAGGAAGCAGGGAGTTCCGTCTGAAGTTCGGCGACCGGCTGACCGGCTGATCGGTTGAACTCTCTGCCTTCGGGCGGGGAGGAACCCGAACGAGGCTAAGCCGAAGGGCGGAGTCTCTTTCGGGGAGGTAAACCGACCCTGAACCCGTTTATACGGGTTCAAAGAGCATATTTTTGGCCGAGTCCACGGGCTCGGAGATCCCATGTTAAACCGGCCTTGTGCCACATGGTGCCCTCGTGAGAGAGGGGGGTGACTAAATACCGTTCCGTCTGAAGTCTAGAGTTCAGTCTGAAGTCTGGAGTGAAGTCCGTCAGGAGTCTGTCAGTCAGAGCGAGCGAGCGAGTCAGTCAGTCGAGTCAGAGGCAGTCCGAACCAGAGTCGCGTTCAGACAATTATTACTAAACCTGATTGTTCGTACTAACACTTTCTACTTCTCTGTATATATTCCTGTTTGTAATATATCTGTGTTATTCCATATCCGTATTCGAGTTCTTCTTTATTGGTTCTACCTTGGACTATCACCGTGGTACAAGGAACCGGACCATAACAGTGGCGACGAGCGATTCGAACTCATTCGGTGGAAGAGAAAAAAAAATTGTTCGCCACAGCATAACACACACACACACACACACACACACACACACACACACACACATATATATATATATATATATATATATTCATGTAGAATAATAAGGAATAGAATCCAATTCCGACGTTCGTAACATTCAATTTAAAAGAGGGCTCAATACAAAAGTAGAACAATATTTTTTATTTTAGGATATTGCATGAAAAACATGCAAAAACGCTACACAAATTCAATCATGTTTCGATGTGTATTAACACATCTCATCTACTGTTGTAGACAATTCATTGAGATTTAAAAGCAACATACTCTCTATTTTCACTAGAAAGGGAAGAAAAGAAAAAGAGTAAGAAAGAAAGACACAAGATAGACCCTCTTTTCCCGAGAAAAAGAAGAAGAAGAAAAAAACTAAGAAAGAAAAGAGAGGAGATAGAAGCAGGATTTGTTTTGTTTATATTCAAATCAACCAATCGGAATGGCCTATTCAAAGTTCAAAGTAAGGGGAAAAACGAAAGTTAAGAAGCAATCATACGTAAGAGGTCATGATCCACAGATTTGCAATCGTAGACGACATCAAAATGTCATATTCAGTACATTGGCTACAATGTTATACATTAGAAAATTTAATTTCCTATGAGAGAAGAAACGTAATTTAACAAGATACTCGACAAACTACATACCTTGTGAGTTAAAAAATTTAAATTTCACATTTTTGTACTTTGTAAATAAACCAGCCCTTTAAGAAAAATCGAAAGTTTAAACAAACATATCTAACGAAATTATGAAAACATATGGATCTAAAAAAATTTAAGCATATAGATAAAAAATATTTAAACATATAGATCTAACAAAAATATTTCTATATGTATATCATACAAAATAAAATAGAATGCAACTGTTAACTAAAGGATCTTTATATAGAGTGTTAATAAAACCAATCAATGCAAAATATCAAAATATCAGCCGAATTACATACCTCTATACTAAATATTATCGACTGGACTAGAAAAATAATGTACAAATTATACTACGTTGAAATCGATCATACTAACAGAAAAATAAGCTTTATACGATGCAACAAGGTTTAACTAAAATATAAGAAGAAGTAATTGACAAACTACAAAGTCTAACAAGATTGTAGAGTCAAAGGTATGATGTGTTTACAATTAACCGTTAATTCAAATCTTTGATTTAATAAATCATCCCTATTCAAGAACCTGATAATTTGCATTTTCTCCTGTAAACAAAGAAAGACACATAGTGTACTCTCTTTTCCCAAGAAAAGGAGGAATAAGTAATAAGATTAACAAAGAAGAGGGAGGAGATAGAAGCAGGAATTAATTTGTTTATATTCAGATCCACCAATCAAAATGGCCTACGCTAAGTTCAAAGTAAGGGGAGGAACGAAAGTTAAGAAGCAGTCATAAGAAGTCATGATCCACATATTTAAAATTGTAGACAACCATATATGGAAAAATTATGATGAGGTTGTAAAATTTTCTTGTGTCGCGTTTCGTCCTTTAGTAATTCTTTGGACTAAATTCGTTATTTTGAGGCGGCTACACATGCGAAACGCGCTAATATATATATATATATATATATATATATATATATATATATATATGTACTGCTTATAAACAACAGACAATTTAGACTTTACTAACCAGACGCTTTCTCTGTAGCTGAGTGGTATACCAAGTCAGTGGCTTGTCAAGACTTTCCGTATAGGACACAGGTTTGATTCCTGTCGAAGAACGCATATTTTCTATGAAATTTCTCAAACATAAAAGCCGGTAAATGTAATTAATACTGTTTATTTAAAAAAAAACAAAAACAGCATTTACTTAAATTGTATCTAATAAAATAAAGTATAAACAGAAAATATATTAAATAATTCTCAGATTTAATCCATTTCATAATATGTTGTCAATGTTTACGTTAAGGTACGTTTCGTGAGCAGATATGGTCGTTCGGGTAAGATTGTCGAAGATTTGTTGTTTAAAAACAGTAAACTGGACTTTGCTAATCAGATGTTTCTTTGTGGCTGAATGGTTAACAGCATATCAGATAAATTGATGGTTCCTATTGGGGTTACATGTTCGATTCCTGGCGAAGAAGCACACATTTTCTATGAAATTTCTCGAACATTCAGGCCGGTAAATCTAATTAATACTCTTTATTTAAAAATAAATTGTACCTATTAAATAACGTATAAGCAGAAAATTTATTAAATATATATAGAGAGTGATGGATATAGGTATATGAATAAGTCTTTTTTTAACGATTTAAAAAACATTTATTTTTAATTTAATCCCATCTCTTGTCCATGCCCTTAATTTACTGGTGAATATTTGATCGACCATGCGTGCTCGCGCTCCTCACCATATATATATATATATAACAGCATGGCCCGGCGTTGCCTGTGCTTGATTTAAAAATCGTACCGACTCGTACAACAATCGCTATCACTTGACTTAAAATATTTTTGCCCTTCCTTGCCTTTAAAGAAGTGCCCTTTTCCGTGCTGATGTTGCTACATGCCTTACTTCTTGCCTATCTCACACTGCGAATTTTTTCGAAGATCTATACTAAACATTAAATCTGTTACGAAAAAAGAACTAAACAAAATGAACACAGAACCATCAGCTTTAAAAAAGGACTAGTAACTGGAAAAACCTAATGAAAAAAGAATGTTAACAACAAATACTTTTTTCACACCCAACCCAGTTCTGCGGAATCAGAATCAACGTTGCGTTTAAGCAAGCGAATGAGCCAATTGGAGTAAAGTGCCATGCAGATTTAAATTTTTCCCACTTGTGACGAATGCAGCTATCGATTTTTTTTTTGCATGCTAGTTACATTCGTGTCAGTCAGCTGTTGGCTCTCACGTTGGCCAATAGAATCTTCCTGCCTATTCGTGGCAGCCAGCTATAGGCTCTCACTCTGGCCAGTACAAAATGGCCGCAAACTACATGAAAAGTGCCGTAGAAGCATGAAAAAAATCGATTATTTCCGCTATCAATGGGAGTTGGAAAATGCAAAGTCGGTCTTGGCCTTTTCACTAACTTGGAGCATGTGCATGTAAATTTTGGTGCAAATCCGTCGAAAATTGCGGCCGTGCATTCGTTACACACACACACACAACCTGCCTTTTATATATATATATATATATATATATATATATATATATATATAGAGAGAGAGAGAGAGAGAGAGATAGAGAGATAGAGAGAAGTGTGTGTGCTGAGACAGAGAAAGGGAAATCGAAACGAACACACGGAAATAGATAGAAAGAAAGAGAGAACACTGATACAAAGAACAGAGTAATGGGAAAGAAAGAGAGGGTACCGGAATAAAGAAAGAAAAACATGCAAAGAAAGAGAGGGAGAGTAAAGGAAAAAAGAAAGAGGAGAGAAATCGACACAACAAAGGAGTACAGGAAAAGAGAGATTCATTCTTTCCCTTCTTTCTTTCTTTCTTTCTTTCTTTCTTTCTTTTCTCCTTGAAATATTTGTTTTCTCTTTATTTTTTCTTTCTTTTTTGTTTGCTTCTTTCTTTCATTGAATAACGTTTCTTTATTTTCTGTTGATTCTTTTTCTTCTTTCTTTTTTCTTTTTCTTTCTTTTTTTTTTTCTCGTTGAACTATTCTTTCTTTTCTCCTGATTCTTTCTTTCTTTTTTCTTTCTTTCTTTCTTTTTCTCGTTGAACTCTTCTTTTATATATATATATATATATATATATATATATATATATATATATATATACATATATATATATATATATATATATATATATATATATATAAAGAAGAGTTCAACGAGAAAAGAAAGAAAGGAAGAAAGAACGAAAAATAAGGAGAAAAGAAAGAAGAGTTCAACGAGAAAGAAAGAAAGAAATAGAAGGAAGAAAGAAAAGTTAGAGTGAAAGAAAAGAACAAAGAAAAAGAGATAGAGATCTATTTACAGAGAGGAGTACGTCATAGACGAAGAAAATAAATGAAAGTAAAAGGGGAAGTAAATTAACTGAGGGGGGAAGGGATTGAATGGAAGAAGAAAGAGAGAAAGAGAACAGTGACAAGTTAAGCGAGAGGAGAAAATTCGGAAGAGAAAGAAACGTTCTCAAGGAGGACCAAAGTGCATGTACTGCGCATGCTCCTGCTTAATAACGTTCTTTGCTCCAACCTTAAAGAACTTAAAATTGTTTTCGCAAATAATCTAATTTTAAAGCCATTATTCGTAATCTCAATTCCTTTTAAGCAAAGTTAATCTCCAGAAATTCCTCTCAAAGATTACCGCTCTGCCTCTTTTATACGCAATTGGACTTTATTTCAACGAATAAAAACGATATTACTCCAGTTACCGATTTTTACAGGATTGGCTCACTTACGTTTCCAGCTTTAAAATGTGTTTAAAAAAAAAATCGAGGACTAGTCGATGTCATGGTTGACAATGTGTGTAATAGCTAAAATGGAAAAAGTACAAAATTGATGAAAGCGTTGTGGCACATATAATCCTACTGAATCTCTCATTCCGAATTTAGTGTAAATATTTTTTTATCATTTCAAACTCAAGTAAGGCAATAATGCCACTAAGATGCCAGGGGTTACAGAAAGTGCCCCCCCCCAAAAAAAAACTCCAAAACAAAATTGAAGAATCGTTACCATGGAAAAAGGACAATAAAAGAACAGGATTTAAGAAAACAGAAGGTGATAAATGACGTTGCAGTTAAATTTTAAAAGTTTTAATTGGCAGGAAAGCAAGAAGCCGGTAGAGATTTCCACAAGTAAGGAGTGCGATAAAAGAAAGTATTAGAATAAAACGTAGGCTTATATTTAGCAAGTTCAGCAATAAAACGATGAGACCTAATTGCCAATCTAGTAGTAGGCTTAAACTCATGAAGTTGAGGTACCAAATATGGAAAGCAATATTTATTTGGCAAAAAATGTGGCACCAGGCCGAAAGCGGGGATAGGGGAAGGATGGTCTTCAATTTGTCTTATCTTAAACGTAGCTAGCCACAATTAATGACCCCAACATACCAGTGTATTACTTACACCAAAACAACACATTCTTACTACATTCACCATAATACCTCTAAGTCTCTATGGTGATTTTCTAAGCGTACCTTAGATGTGGCACATGGTCAGAAGAATGGGGAACTCAATGAAGATCGAACTCACTATTCAGTCGTAATTGATCTAGCGATATTAGCTTGTTAACCATTATATCAAGTCGAGAGCCCCCTTAAAGTATCTACATAGTCCTAAGTAGTTCGCAACTGTACAATTTTTCTGTGGGGCTGGGAAATAAAAATAATATTTAAAAATGAAACTTTATCTCTCTCTCTATCTCTCTCTCTCGCTCTCTATCTATCTATCTCAATCTGCTCATATCTATCTATCTATCTATCTATCAATCTTAGTCTCATAATATCTGTCTATCGATCTAGGTCTCCTCATATCTATCTATCTATCTATCTATCTATCTATCTATCATCTCAATATGCTAATATCTGTCTATTTATTTATCTATCTATCTACCTATCTCAGTATATATTGGTTTGTTTTACGGCATATAAATCTCAATGGGTCATTTAATGCCGACAAGATTTTTGTTGCTGGTAATATTTTCATCTATCTATCTATCTATCTATCTATCTATCTATCTATCTATCTATCTCAGTATATATTGGTTTGTATATCGGTTTCTTAATAAAAAATCTATTTCTGTTAATATTTTGTTTCAAAACTTTATTGCTTGTAACATTTTTTTTACAATGTATTTCTGGCATTAAAACCTATTTTTTCACTTTCGCAGTTTTTTGACTCCAGTTTTTTTTGTTAACTATTTGGCCATAGCTGGGACCCTAACAGGTGCTACCACCCCGGGTCAGGGTGAACCTGGGAACACTAGCAATTAAGAAGTGGCTCCACACTCCTCAAAACCTCCTGATCAGTGGCTTTGCTGTTGAACGTAGTTTATCGTCTTACCCAGGACGGGTGAGGGGAGGTGATTGAAGCCAAGATGTCAGGTGATGACTGATAACATTGCAGATTTTCTTCGGTTTTTGTCAACAATCTCAAGATATATAGCAGATCAGATGTGACAACAATATTCAATCGATGGACGAGTGATAAAATAATGAAGGAGAAATATATTCGGCTGAGAAAAATTGTCTAGGTCGACACATTGACAGAATTGATAGCATTGAATTCTCTGAGTATCAGATGTTGTATGCCAGAAAGCGTCCTTCGGGAACTGGGGTTCGGAAGAGGCCGTTTATCCCAGCTTAGATTCATTCAGATCTAAATTATATGAATTTAAAATTCATGTAAAGAGTGCAGAAGTGATTTTCAGTGTAAGGAAATACACACATTCAAACATACATTTTTTTAATGAATGTTCACTAAATACAAGGCTCATGAGACCGTTAGGGT